ATCGTAATATCATGATTATTGTTACACAAGTCAAAAATAATTATACAGAGTAATCTAAACGTCACCATCACGTGAAACGAACGATTTTAATATATTAGAAGATAATTAATATAACGATAATACGTAGATAACAATCAATTATACAATCATCATATTTGAATTATTGTATCATTTTTAATAATCACCAAAAAAATCCGCCAATGCGATTACTGCTTAATACCGGCCTGGCTCAATAAATTCCGACCCTAAAATTTTGGTCGATCTACTGAATTGTAGCCAATCCATTTGAAGGAGTTATTTTGCAAGAATACCCGATACTAACCGATTGATTGAAAATGGTAAACGCACGAACCTTCAGGTAGTGGAACATTAATTTAAGACTAATTTATACAGTATACATTGCATCGTGCAACTACAGTTTTTTACGCCAGAGGTATTGCATAAAATGTACTACGAATAAAATAAGATACTGCGGCAAACGTCCGTCCACTTTATAAATATAAATAAAATAAAATAAGAAAACCATCTCATGGCCGAAGCTCAGCAAGAAAATGAAACTTTCGTGAAACAAGCTTTGGTATCTGAAACCGAAGAGGAGAGCGAAGAGTTTGAACAACTGGATATGTGAGCTTCATGAATTATTTTAAATTACCTTTTTATAATAGTTGTTACATTTCTTTTTAAAACAGCAAAGAGTCTTCTGAAGAACAGACTTTGACATCTGGAAATGAAGATACCGAGCAATTCGAACGATTAGAACTGAAGTAAGTTTTTATTAGCTTGTTATTTCATAGCTCAAGATTTGATGATACTTCACTGTCCTTCACTATATAATAAATCAATCCTTTCTAAGTGCACACCAATAATGTTGAATATTCATTCTACAACATAAAAAGTTCAAACATTATTTGAAAGCATTTGGAAATATTGATTTGGAAGAATAATTTGTTATTTTAACATATGTTAGATTACCCAAAATCCATTACAATTCGCTTAATTTCAACTCTTGAAAATGCAGTGAACCTCCTGAAAAAGTAGATCTTAAAGTGGTAGACGACGGTCAAAGTGTGAATGAAGATGAGCTAAGAAAAAGTCTTTTAGAACAAGAAAAAGAAAATGCAGAACTTGATGCAAAACTCAAGGCAGCAGCAGAACGCCGTAAGGAACTTGAGAAACAGTTAGAAAAAAAACTTGAAGCACAAGAGAGAGAAAATGCAGCAATCGAAGCGAAGCTTAAAGCGGCCACTGAACGGCGAAAAGAACTTGAAAGATTATTAGAAGAGAAACTTAGGGATCGAGAACAACAAGAACTGGAAAAAATGGATGGAAAAGAAGTAAAAACTGAACAAGGACAAGAAGATTAAGTTTTGTGTACTTGTTTATTTTAATTAGAAAATAATATTATAATAATGTTTCTATTTTGTCGAAACATACTATATACGTATCTTTATAGTGAACCGTATCTTTAATATAAATTTGTAAATTAGCTGTTAGAGATAAACTTAATAATTAAATTTCTAATAACGGCAAAGCAACTTATTCATTATCGATAGTATTTTGTTAGCAACTAATAACGATAAGTTTTATTGCTACTAATGCTGAGAATTGAATCTGTTTTAATAATAAAGAGTATATGTGGATTTTAGTAGGTCTTGTAGCTCAAATCTCAGCATTAATAGCGACAAATTTATAATAAATTTTTTTCAAAGCAAAAGGTTTCTATTATCATTATAAGAACAGGTTGACGCTTGTTTTGTGCTAGGACTCCTCTCTATTAACTCAGGATTGTTTTCGCTATTAGGTTATGGCCTGAAGGACACAGTAATATCCAAATTTCGCAGGGAAAGCCTTTTGTTAGTATATCTGCAGGCAAAACCCCTGGGGCTTGGGGATTTGGAGCAATTTATTATCGTTATGTTGGACTATTAAAATTGATATTGATATGCATAGGATCGATTTTCTGGTCATGTGTAGAGTTTCGTATTCAAAGAATTATCCAATGAATGACGATAATTCGAATAGGCAAATTTTACGTATTCAAATAATTTATCTTCCTATAGAAAATAGATCATGGTACAAATTCTTAATCTAGACAGGTAATAGTACAGACTTCTACTTTAATAAATATTACTGATAATCGTTAAACTATATTTTGTAAAATCCTGACTTGTCCTTGATAGTTTTCAAAGCACTTGCAACCTTTATTCTTTTTTGGTTGGATCTACTTCTCTCCAATTTATTGTTATATTTATATATTATATACATATATCCATATATATACTCTTTATTCGATCACTTGATTAACAATTTCAAATATATTACCATTACTCTATACTCAATAATAACGAATCTGTACTTTCGTAATCCATTAATGGATTACTGGAGTATCATTACCCATCTACCTTCGTGAAAATATAATATCATATGCTATTTAATCTCCAAAATGCTTTAATGAGTGTCCCGATCTAAGTTTTTATATTGATTTTTTGAATAATTGTTATGTTTGTTTTTTTTTTTTCTTTGAATTTTTAATAGTTTGATGAATTGATAATCATTGATTGACAAAAACATATACAAAAGATTTGCTAATTCTTTTTGGATTTATACAATTTAATTTGAGACATGTTTTTATTTATTTTTATTTTTTTTATTTTTTTATTTTTTTTGATATTAAGGTAACCTTTTGGCCATCTCTTTTTATAGATTATAGGTTTAAATTTTACAGTATACTATAGTATACTGTATATATATTTGAAGATATATACTAGCCATATATATAACTTTTGATTGCCTATTTAAGTAGTCTGCTTATAACTAAATTCTATACTAAATATCATACCTACAATCCAATTGGGAGATTACTTATCATATTGATCAATTTTTGAAATTTATAAGTAAAATATATTTTTTAAAAACTTTAAATCTAAATAACTTCTGATCTACTAGTCTATTTTAAATAATTTTATTATCAAAATATTTGTCTCTTTGAAACAATTCCAACAAGCCCAAAATTATTAAAATCTAATTACAAAATTGTAAGATAATATATTGTCAAATAGTGACATATCTAGAGATAGGGTTGATTGGTTAGACCTATATCTAACCTTATCTGCTATATATATCACTATTTGATAGTATATTATTTCATGATCCTGTAATTAGATTTTAATGATTTTGGGCTTGTTGGAATTGTCTTAAAGAGATGAATATTTTGATAGTAAAATCATTTAAAACGAACTAATAAATCAGAAGTTATTTAGCTTTAAAGTTTTTAAAAAATATATTTTATAAATTTCAAAATTTGGTTCATATGTTTAAACCTTTTGCATCTATATAAATTATCTTATTAACTAAGCAAAAATACCAGTATTTTGTATTTTTAAACATTTAGCTTAGAACTTTCAAGCAGGTTTAACTATTTTAGAGAACCTTTTATTCTTGAGAATAAATTTATTAAAGTTTTTTATATCCACAATCTAGCTAATCTAAGCTTTAGTACTTTATGTTAAGTTTAAAGATTTGTATTTATAGTTAGTCTTTAATCTCTACTACTAATTATTTATTTTTGCTTTTATAAAGTTCACTCAAATCCTAGTGCTTCTTTTCAAGTCTACATAGTATTTTCTACTTTCAGTATCATTCTAGTAGTTTTTTAAATTTTTAATTTAGATAGCTCAGAAGAAATATTATTTTTCTGATATCTATTTAGTAGATTCTTTTTCTTCAGTTGATATTTTGATGACCTGGTTAATAGAATATTCTTGTTAAATATTTGATTTTTATTCAGTTATACTAATTTTAGATATATCTTATTCTAATAGTATTGCTAAAAAATTATACTATCTTTTTATTTAAAACTTGTAAAGTAGATATCTATCTCATTAGTTTTTTGATTTTATATAATTATTAAGATTTATTATAAATTTGTATTAACTAATACTAGTTTGTATATTTTTATATAATTTATATATTATATAAATATCTAATAATTCTTTTAAATATACAAGTTGAAATTTGATATATTCTACATTTAAGCTATACAAATTGGGTAGCAAATGAGTGAAAATAATATAAGATATCTTATATATATAGTACATATATAGTATACAAATCCTACACAAATATTTAAATTCACAGAATATATATAGGATATATATAGGATATATATAGTTGGTTCGCAAATATGTGTGAGATATTCTATATATTATTGCACAGAATAGATGTAGAATAGGTATAGGATATGTTAAATTTAGACTTGTAATATTTGGTATAATCTTGATTACAAATTTTAAATTCAACTAATTAATATAAGATAATACCTATTTTATAACAGAATATTTAAATTTTATCAGTGGGATTCAAACTCTAGATATACTGTTTGAAAATATAATACTTTATTATTTTACTAAATTATTATCTCTTAAACTGTATTTCAGTCAAATTTGCCTGGAAAATTTAATTTTATTTAGTATTTTTTTAATAAAATAATAATTTATT